TACCATTCAGTTATAAATGTAGACATATTTTTTTAAAATTTTATTTTTAAGTAATTCCACACCCAACGTGGGGCTTGAACCTACAACCCCAAGATCAAGAGTCACACACTCTATTGACTGAGCCATCCAGGTGCTCCTGGCCTTTACAAATTCAGGAACGTGATATCCATAGCTATAGTTTCTAGGTTTAAATATTTGAACTATTTGAATACAGAATGTGTAAATCTCAACAACTGTAGGATTTATGATTAGAGAACAGAATGTTTAGTGTTGTAAATATTATTATTATAAATGTCATTTGTAGTTGATAATGAACAAATACTAGTATAATGAATGGCAGTTGTGCATCAGTTTCTTCATCTGTAAAATAGGGATAGTAAGAGTCCTTATATCTCATACAAGTGTTGTGAGGATTAAATGAACTACTTAATGTAAAGTGCTTTGACAAGCATCTAGCATTTAATAAGTACTGAATAAATGTTATTGGTTAGTATTATTAGATCCTGAACAAAATAAATGAAATAGTTGAAGAAATAACATGAGTTTCCTTAATATTTTCCCACGGACTTAATTTTGGAACAATCTTATAGAAGCTAATGTGTTTTTCATGGTGAAGAAATATTTGTTTAAAGTGAAGAAGTCCTAAAAATAAATAAATAAATAAAATAAAGTGAAGAAGTCCTGGGATTGAGTCCTGCATTGGGCTCCCTGCTCAGTGGGGAGTCTGATTCTCCCTCTGCCCCTCCCACCTGCTTGTGCTCTCTCTCTCTCTCTCTTTCTCAAATAAATAAATAAAATCTTAAAAAAAAAATAAAGTGAATTTCTTCAGTTTTGCTTCAATTTATATTCTTCAGTAAAATTAAGGGGAATACTCTATTTAAAAAAATAGCTTATATAGTATGATTCCATTTTAATGAAAGCATATCTTTCAAAAAAAAAAGATTCCTCCATGCATCAACCATTGATCCATCATTCTATTTTTGCATAGATAGAGACTTGCCATAAAGTTCACCAGTGTTAACAGTTAATTCTGGGTGACTGAATTTTGTTGATTTTATTTTTTCTGTTATTTCAGCTTTTATTTATTTTTGAGAGAGAGAGAATCTTAGGCAGGCTCCATGTGATGTGGGGATTGATCTCACAGGACCCTGAGATCATGACCTGAGCTGAAATCAAGAGTTGGTCGCTTAACCGACTGAACCACTCAGGGGGTCACCCCTTTATAACTTTTAGTTTTGCAAAGCTTCCTAAAGGATCTTTCCTCTAGTCTTCCCTCTCCAAACCATCCCTCCTTGGTTATCAGAGGTATCTTTCTTTCTTTTTTAAAATTTTTATTTTATTTAATTTTTTAAAGGATTTTATTTATTTATTTGACAGAGAGAGGCACAGCGAGAGCAGGAACACAAGCAGGGGGAGTAGGAGTGGGAGAAGCAGGCTTACTGCTGAGCAGGGAGCCCAATGTGGGGCTTGATCCCAGGACACTGGGATCATGACATGAGCCGAAGGCAGATGATTAATGACTGAGCCACCCAGGTGCCCCCCGCCTTTTTTTTTTTTTTAATTTTGTTTATTTGACAGAGACACAGCGAGAGAGGGAACACAAGCAGGGGGAGTGGGAGAGGGAGTGGGAAAAGCAGGCTTCCCGCGGAGCAGGGAGCCCGATGCGGGGCTCGATCCCAGGACCCTGGGATCATGACCTGAGCCGAAGGCAGACGCTTAACGACTGAGCCACCCAGGTGCCCCGCCCCCCCTTTTAAGATTTATTTATTTGAGAGAGAAAAGGGAGAGAGCAAGCGGGGCAGAAGGTGAGAGAGAAACTCAAGCAGACTCCTCACTGAGCGAGGAGCCCAACATGGGGCTCAGTCCCATGACCCTGAGATCAGACCTGAGCTGAAACCAAGAGTCAGAAGCTTTAACTGACTGTGCCACCCAGGCACCCCCAGGGGTATCTTTCTAAAACACAAGTTTCTTCCTTGAAATCCCAAATGGCTTCCTCTTACCTAAATAAGAAAGGTCAAACTCCTTAGCTTGGCACTGAGAACCTTCTCACCTTTTCAGCCTCTTCTTTCTTTGGCCTGTGATCTTGTGATTCCCATGCACTAATCTCGTTCCCTGACAATGCCTGGCTTTCCTTCCCTGGCATACAGCCTTGGCTATCTCTTCTACAGGGTTTCCCTTCCTGTCTACCTCCAGCACTCCTACCTCATCTGTCCAATCTCAATTCCTTCCCTAATGCTCTGTTCAAAGCCTCACTTGCCTCCCCAAGCAGTCAGCCTCTCTTTCTTCTCTGTTCCCTCCCCAGTACTTGGTATATACCATTATCAGCATTTGCCAGATTATAGTTTTAATATAAAATTAAAATGTGTTTTAATTTACATATTTAAATTATAATTAATCATCTTGATGTCTGTTTCTGGCCCCCTACCCACTTCTTCTAATGAAGGAGCATCTCTGTTTGACGTCTCTATTCAACTTTCTTTTCTTTCTTTTCTTTCTTTTCTTTTTTTAAAGGCAGGTCACCCGTGACCTGAGATGCTGCATTTTTTAAAAGATTTTATTTATTTATTTGCCAGAGAGAGAGAGAGCACAAGCAAGGGGAGCAGCAGGCAGAGGGAGAGGGAGAAGCAGCCCCCTGCTGAGCAAGGAGCCCGATGCGGGGCTCGATCCCAGGACCCTGGGATCATGACCCGAACTGAAGGCAGACACTCAAATGATCAAGCCATCCAGGTGTCCCTCTTTCTTTTCTTTCTTTCTTCCTTCCTTCCTTCCTTCCTTCTTTCCTTCCTTCCTTCCTTCCTTCCTTCCTTCCTTCCTTCCTTCCTTTTCTTTTTCTTTTCTTTCTTTCTTTCTTTTTCTTTCTTTCTTTCTTTCTTCTTTCTTTCATTCATTCTTTCTTTCTCTTTCTTTCAGATTTTATTTATTTATTTGAGAAAGAGAGTATAAACAGGGGAGGGGCAGAAGGAGAGGGAGAAGCAGACTCCCCACTGAGCAGGGAGCCCGATGCAGGACTCCATCCCAGGACCCGGGATCCTGACCTGAGCCGAAGGCAGATGCTTAACCGACCGAGCCACCCAGGTGCCCCTCTCTATTCAAACTTAATCCTAGAATAGCACATAGTAGGTGCTAAGTGAATGTTGTTAGATAGGAGAATATTTTATTAGATTGAAGGAATTATATAACTTTTGGTAGAAAATGTATTATAGAACTTTATTTATTTTTTAAAAATATTTTCTTTATTTGACAGAGAAACAGACAGCGAGAGAGGGAACACAAGCAGGGGGAGTGGGAAAGGGAGAAGCAGACTTCTTGCTGAGCAGGGAGCCCGATGCGGGGCCGATCCCAGGACCCTGGGATCATGACCTGAGCTGAAGGCAGACGCTTAATGACTGAGCCACCCAGGCGCCCCTATAGAACTTTTTTTTTTTTTTTAAGATTTTTAAAATTTATTTGACAGAGAGAGATACAGCGAGAGAGGGAACACAAGCAGCGGGAGTGAGAGACGGAGAAGCAGGCTTCCCGCGGAGCAGGGAGCCCGATGCGGGGCTTGATCCCAGGACCCTGGGATCATGACCTGAGCCGAAGGCAGACGCTTAATGACTGAGCCACCCAGGCGCCCCTCTATAGAACTTTTTTTAAAAGAAGATTTTATTTATTTATTTAAGAGAGAGAGCGCATGCTAGAGAGAGCATGAGCTGGGGGAGGGGCAGAGGGAGAAGCAGACTCCCCACTGAGCAGGGTGCCCGATGCGATACGGGGATCGGGATCGATGCCAGAACCCCAGGATCACAACCTGAGCTGAAGGCAGCCACTTAACCAACTGAGCCACCCAGATGCCCGAATTATAGAACTTTTTTAAAAAGATGGTTTAAAAATATAAAAAACTTTCAAGTACACAGACGAAAAAATGCAAACATTTCTAAGTAGAAATTTTCCAAAGCCTGTTGTAATAAATGGAGATAATTTGCAAACTAATAATGTCCTTAAAAATAGTTTGTTTCTCATTTGAGTAGAGTATGCATGCTTTCTAAAATTTGTCTTATATTAGTATTTTCTCTAATATAACTTAGGCTTACAAATTAAAGAATTATACATATTCTGAATTAGAACAAATTAAAGAAATTATAATGGGGGGGGCGCCTGGCTGTCTCAGTCAGTGGAACATGTGACTCTTGGTCTATGCCTCACATTGGTTGTGAGATTACTTAAAAATAAAATCTTAAAAAAATAAAGAAATTATAATGGTATCACTACCATGGCTGTTTATCACTTAATGGAAACACATTGAATAACAGACTAACATTCTTTTCCCAAAATGGAGAAATTTGTTCAACTCCATTGCTGCTTTATTCCACTGAACTAACTGTACCTCCCATTTCAGCACCTCATCAGTCTTAGCACTATTACTCTGAATTCTTTATTTAAACAACTCATAGAAAAAAAGTTCCAATTCTATTCACAGGTGTTATATTAATATTGTTTGTCATTTGCTGAGATTTGAGCTTGGGTCTGGTACTGTGCCCAGTTACAAAAAAGAAATCACTATTTCTGCCCTTAGGAAGATAAGAATCCAGTTGCAGAAATAAGATACAAACACACATAAAGTAATCAGAAAACACTTCAAGGCAATATTTAGTGGTAGTGTCCAGTTTTGTGGTATAGTAGTTACATGGTATAGAAGTTGATGTCTAATTATAATTTAAATATGTAAATTAAAACACATTTTAATTTTATAACTATAATCTGGCAAATGCTGATAATGGTATATACCAAGTACTGGGGAGGGAACAGAGAAGAAAGAGAGGCTGACTGCTTGGGGAGGCAAGTGAGGCTTTGAACAGAGCATTAGGGAAGGAATTGAGATTGGACAGATGAGGTAGGGGTGCTGGAGGTAGACAGGACAGTTCCTTGTGGTCAAGGAAGGCCTTGTTAATGCAGCTGATTTGAGCTCTGAAGTGTAGGAAGAATCTGAGCTACTGGAAATAAGGGGGAAAACACCCTACCTGAGATTTTCTCCATCTCTTCCAGTAGCTTTTCCAAGTCTTTATTCAGGTCTGACAGCATTTTCAGCATGTTGTCATAGTTTCTTTCTCCAGGGTCAGAATCAGCCATCTGGGCAGTGCACAGAAAGAAGAGGCAGACTTGAAATAGACGGACAATTCCAGCTCTATTTCTCACACCTGGATAGCCCAAGCCAGAAATCTGAGGTCATCTTTAATTCCTCCTTATCTTATTTTCCTGACCCAAGGGGTCACTGAAACTCACCCATTTTATTTGTTCATGGAATATTTACTCATCTATGGGTCAAGAAGGCCCAGTGCTTGGGAGTTGCCAGTGAACACTGCCTTTGTGGAACTCATAGCCTCGCCCAGCTCTTTAAAGTCTTTATCCTCCCTCTCTCCAAGGTTGCAGTTTTACTTGAGGTCCATTCTGTTATCCACCATTGAATAGATTTACTGAGCATCTACTATGTGCCAGACATCTACTATGGCTCTGTAGATACTGTAGTATATTTGTGGATGCAGACAGATAAAACCCATGCTTTCACCGAGCTTCCATTCCAGGGGGAGATACAAATAATAAACAACAGAATGGTAAAGATACCTTTGGTTTGTGGTCACTGCAAAAAGAAAACAAAACAGCATGGTTTAATAAAGAGAATCTTTCACGGGGAGGGGTGCTTTAGTTTGTCAAGTCAGCTAAGTCCTTTCTAATGAAGCCGCATTTGAACTGACACTACAATGATAAGCATTTCTTTTAAAAGATTTTATTTTATTTTATTTTATTTTATTTTATTTTACTTATTAGAGAGACAGAGAGAGCATGAGCGGGGGGTGGGGGACGGCAGAGGCAGAGGGCCAAGCAGACTCCCCGCTGAGCAGGAAGCTTAATGTGGGGCTCAGTTCCAGGACCCCGAGATCATGACTTGAGCTGAAGGCAAATGCTCAACTGACTGAGACACCCAGGAGACCTTGACACTTGAATGATAAAAAGGAATTGGCATGTAAAGAGCTAGGGAAAGAGTTCTAGACAGAATGGCTCAAGAAAAGGTGGGAGTGGTCCTCATGTGTTTTAAAAATTTTTTTTTTTTAAGATTTTATTTATTTATTCATGAGAGACAGAGAGAGAGAGAGGCAGAGGGAGAAGCAGGCTCCCCGTGGAGCAGGGAGCCCGATGCGGGACTCGATCCCAGGACCCTGGGATCACGACCTGAGCCGAAGGCAGACGCTTAACCAACTGAGCCACCCAGGCGTCCCCCTCATGTGTTTTAAAGCATGGAAAGAAACTACAGAATGGGGTCAAGGAGAAAAGTGGTATGAGGTAGATCAGTTCAGTAGGCAAGAATTTTGGTTTTATTTTGAGTGTGAGTAAAAGACACTGGAAATTGAGAGCAGGGGATTATGTTTGTTTTTTTTTAAATATATATTTTTAAAGATTTTATTTATTTATTTGAGAGAGAGAGAATGAGAGACAGAGAGCACGAGAGGGAAGAGGGTCAGAGGGAGAAGCAGGCTCCCTGCCGAGCAGGGAGCCCGATGCGGGACTCGATCCCGGGACTCCAGGATCATGACCTGAGCCGAAGGCAGTCGCTTAACCAACTGAGCCACCCAGGTGCCCCAAGAGAGCAGGGGATTATGTTTTAAGATAATGACTTCAGCTGCCATTTGGAAAATGGACTACTACAGAAGGTTGAGAGGAGGTAAGAGTGGGAGAACCAGTTAGTTAAGAGAGCACTAGAATGGTCCAGAGATGAAAGTAGCTTTGGGCTAGGGTGGTAAGTAATGATATCAATGGTGAAAAGTGGAGGGGTTCAGGCTGTATTTTGGAAGATAAGCCAAAAGAATTTGGAAAAGGATCTGATGTGTCTAGGTTTGCAGGGGTAAGTGTTGGTAAGAAAAAAATCAAAATGACTCTTAATTTTGATGAGAACAACTTGATACGAGGTGTTATTAACTGAAGTGGGGAAGACTAAGAGAAGAACGGATTAGAAGGGAAACCAAATACTCTATTTTTTTAAAAAGTTTTATTTATTTAAGTAATCTCCACCCAATGTGGGGCTTGAACTCACAGCCCTGAGATTAAGAGTCACATGCTCCACTGACTGAGCCAGCCAGGTGCCCCCCCAAATGCTCTATTTTGAATATGTTAACGTGAGATGCCTATTAGGCCTCAGAGTAGAGATTCAAATAGGCAGTTGAATATATAGGCCTGGAGTTCAGGAGAAAGGTTGGAGCTAAAAATATAAAGTTTGGAACTAATGTGCATGCTCTCTTCACCTTTCATTTGGACTATTTTCATAAACTCCTAACTGTTCTTCCTGCTTCTGGCTTCATCTTGTCAAATCCATTTTCCAGTTCACCTCCAGAATGACCTTACCTAACATCCAAATCTGACCATTTCACTCTGTTTACAACCCTTCAATAGCTCCCATTTTCTTTCAGGATAAAACATAACCTCTTTACTACATATATAAGATCCTTTATAATCAAGCTCCTGACTGTTCCCACTATCATCCAGTTCTGGGTTGTGACCAAATTATTGAAGAAAGCCTTGAGATCTCAAATTAAAATCTGTAAGAGTTGTGTATTTCCATGAGACTTGATTAAAAAAGATCCATAAAAAAACATAAAACTCTGCAAAGTTAAAAAAATTAGTTTTCTTATAAAAGAGCTAAAGAAATACAAAATGGAATAAAATCATTCTATCATGTAGGTGGTTACAAAATCTGTGCAAAGGCAAAGAAGTAGATAATGACACAATTCATATCTAAGTTGTGTGGGCTACTTGCTCAATTCATTAATTTATAAGATACCAGTTATATTCTTTTACCCATACATTCAACACATATATATTGAGCACTGTTTTAGATTCTGAGGATATGGCAGTGAACAAAACAGGTTAAAATTCCTGGTCTCATGGAATTTACATTCTACTGGTGAAAGAACATAAACAAGATTAATAAGTGAAATAAATATAAGGAGGGGATAAGTACCAAGGACAAAAGTCAACCAGAGATGGAGGGTGGAAGAGTGTGTGTGAAGGGGGTGGCTGCAATTTAAATAAGTGTACAGGCTTGTTGTGACGAGCACAGGGTGTTGTATGGAAGTGTTGAACCACTATATTGTACACCTGAAACTAATATTACACTGTATGTCAACTAACTAGAATTTAAATAAAAACTTAAAAAAAAAAAAGAAAAAACAAAGGAGCAAAGGGCGGGGGGGAAGAAAGAGAGAGGTAAACCAAGAAACAGACTCTTAACTATAGAGAACAGACTGACAGTTACCAGAAAGGAGGTGGGTGGTGGGATGGGTTAAATAGGTGATATTTAAGGAGTGTACTTGTGATGAGCACTGAGTCTTGATTAAAAGTGTTGAATCACTATATTGTACACCTGAAACTAATATTACATTGTATGTTAACTAAATGGGATTTAAATAAAAACTTAGAAATAAATAAGTGTGTAGGGAAGGCCTCGCTGAAGTGATTTTGACCAGAGACTTGCAGGAAGTGAAGAATGGGCCATACAGATATCTGGGAAAAGTGCATCCCAGGCAGAGAAAAGAGTAAGAACAAAGGCCCTGAGCTTGGAGTCAGCTGGATGAGCTGGAGAAAGAGCAACAAAGTCAATATAGTTGGTATAGAGAGAGGGAAGGGGAGAGTAGTAGAAGATGAAGTCAACATATGGGGGGTAGAATTATGGTGGGCCTATCAGGGAAATCCAAATCCACACCACACTGAGACACCATCTTACACCAGTTAGAATGGCAAAAATGGACAGGGAAAGAAACAACAAATGTTGGAGAGGTTATGGAGAAAGGGGAACCCTCTTACACTGTTGGTGGGAATGCAAGCTGGTGCAGCCACTTTGGAAAACAGTGTGGAGGTTCCTCAAAAATTTAAAAATAGAGCTACCCTATGACCCAGTAATTGCACTACTGGGTATTTACCCCAAAGACACAGATGTAGTGAAAAGAAGGGCCATATGCACCCCAATGTTCATAGCAGCAATGTCCGCAGTAGCCAAACTGTGGAAAGAGCCGAGATGCCCTTCAACAGATGAATGGATAAAGAAGATGTGGTCCATATATACAATGGAGTATTACTCAGCCATCAGAAAGGATGAATACCCAACTTTTGCATCAACATGGATGGGACTGGAGGAGATTATGCTAAGTGAAATAAGTCAAGCAGAGAAAGTCAATTATCATATGGTTTCACTTATTTGTGGAACATAAGGAATAGCATGGAGGACATTAGGAGAAGGAAGGGAAAAATGGGGGGGGGGGAATTGGGAGGGAGAGATGAACCATGAGAGACTATGGACTCTGAGAAACAAACAGGGTTTTAGAGGGGAGGGGGGAGGGGGGGATTGGTTAGCCTGGTGATGGGTATTAAGGAGGGCACGTACTGCATGGAGCACTGGGTGTTATATGAAAACAATGGATTGTGGATCACCACATCAAAAACCAATGATGTATTGTATGGTGGCTAACAACATAATAAAAAAAAAAAAAAAAAAAAAAGAATTATGGTGGGCCTTGTAGGCCACCAAAAAGACTTTTTCTTTGAGTGAGATAGGAGTCTGGAGGGTGATAATCTGATCTACATGTTAATAAATCACTAGGTTGAGAGTAGCTTGTCCTGGACCTGGGTGGAAACAGGGAGACTAAGAGGCCACTAATGCAGAATAATGCAGGGGAGAGAAAATAACAGCTTGGATTAGAATAGAAATGATGTAAGTAGTATGAAAGAGGATAATTCAGGGTACATTTTGAGGGCAGGGCCAACAAGATTTGCTGAGTCAATGTGGAGTCAGAGACGACACGAAGATTTTTGGCTGGGAGAAAACTAGAAGACACTGGGTTGTGTGGGGAAGAAAGAATCAGTTTTAACATGTTACGATGCCTATGAGGCATCCAAGTGGGGATGCTGAGTAGGCAACTGGATAAATGAATTCAGAGGAGAGAGTAGGCTAAAGATAGAAATTTGGGAGTCATCAGCATACAGGGTTAGGGTTAGGGTTATTTAAGACACAAGAATGGGTGAGGTTAAGGGAGATAATACAGATGGAGAAGTCCTTCAGGTTTGGGGAGATGTGAAGGAACCAGCCAAAGAGACTGAGGAAGAGGAGCCAGAGAGGTAGAAGGGGAACCAGTCCCAACTCCTAAGTCAAGTCTAGGCTCTCAGAGAGTCACTGGACCCCAGCTACTGTCCTCTGATCATATGAAATCTCAGCAAGGTGAGAAGACAACTCTAAAGAGTTCAAGAGACAGGAACTCCAAAAACTGTATGGGATAAAATAGGTGTTTCCTTAATGAGTGAATAATTTATAATGCTGAGAAGGTAAGGAATTAAGATAGGACATGTTTAAGAGCATAAAAAAGTAGAATTCCTGGGAGACCTGAGTGGCTTGGTCAGTTAAACGTCTGCCTTTGGCTCAGGTCATGATCCCAGGGTCCTGGGATTGAGCCCCGCATCGGGCTCCCTTATCAGGGGAGAATCTGCTTCTCCCTCTCCTCCCTGCTCGTGCTATCTCTTGCTATCTCTGTCTCTCTCTCTTTCAAATAAATAAATAAAATCTTAAAAAAAAGTAGAATTCCTGTGAGAATTTGGTATTTTATGCATTTCTTTTTTTTTTTAAACTTGCTCTTAGTCCACGGTTGTAGATAGTTCAAAGAGGATTCACATTTCTTTTTTATTTATTTATTTATTTATTTTTATTTTTTAAAGATTTTATTTATTTATTTGAGAGAGAGAGAATGAGAGACAGAGAGCATGAGAGGGAGGAGGGTCAGAGGGAGAAGCAGACTCCCTGCCGAGCAGGGAGCCCGATGCGGGACTCGATCCCGGGACTCCAGGATCATGACCTGAGCCGAAGGCAGTTGCTCAACCAACTGAGCCACCCAGGCGCCCTGCTTTTCTATGTTTAAGAGAATTTGGCTTATTAGAGTAACAGGTCAGCTCTGTCATTCTAGTTTAAAATGTGAAATTGATTATGGGTTATAATTTTATTTTAAAGATTTTATTTATTTGAGAGCACACAACTGGGGGGTGGGGGGAGGGGTAGAGGGAGAAGGGAGGGGCAGCCACCCAGGCACCCCTGATTATGGGTTATAATTTTAAGTCAAAATCTTTGTAACTTTATAAAAAGCTTTAGGATATTTAAGAGAACCTGAAGTTCACCATATTTATAAGTTTGGCTTATGATATTTATAAGAATTATTTAAGAAAGTAGAAAGGTTTGTTGTTAAGACAACTGAGAGTACTTGCAAGACTCTGTAGTGCTCTTCCTGCCTCAATCATGGACACCCACACAGAAACAGGGGCCACAAGTTCAAAGTAGTCTGGAATGCTGAGCCCCCCCACATGGAGAACAACTGTTCTGGAATCTCCCAGACCTGTGATGGACCTCATGGGAATGGGAATTAAACTTTTGTTAAACCATACACACACACACACACACACACACACACACCCAGGCACACACACAAAATGAGTTTAAGTTTGTACATGGAACAAAAACATAACATTATTACTACTTAAATTTGCTAGACCTAGAATAAGATTAAGAGTTTAGAATGAGATAATCTTATTTAGAATAAATAATCTAATAATCTGATTTAGAACATAAACTGAAGTTAAATGCTCAAGAAAAACTGGATTTTTGGGGCGCCTGGGTGGCTCAGTCGTTAAGCATCTGCCTTTGGCTCAGGTCATGATCCCAGGGTCCTGGGATTGAGCCCTGCATCGGGCTCCCTGCTCAGCGGGAAGCCTGCTTCTCCCTCTCCCACTCTCCCTGCTTGTGTTCTTGGTCTCACTCTCTCTTTCTCTCTGTCAAATAAATAAATAAAATCTAAAAAAAAAAAAAAAGACTGGATTTTTAATATTAGTAACTTTAATAAAATAAATATTAATTTTTAAAACCAAATAAACATTCAAATACTCTTTTCCCTGTCTAAATAATGCCTTTAACACCACCAAAGCTCATATTTATCAATATCTAGCCATGTCCTCATATTTACCCTAAGCTTCAGTCATATCCAATATTTGGTAAATTGGGGTAGCTACCATATGCCAACCAGCACTACAGAAACTGGGGATTAAAAAATAAATACTCAGTCCTGCCACTAAGGAATAAGTCTGACAAAAAGAAACCTGTTGTAAAGCAAGATTCTTTGAAGAGCAATGGCCATTCAACCAGATGCCCTTGCTCGGTTTCAAACCAAAGCCTTCTCATATAAAATGGCCCTTATAGCCATGTCATTGAGAACTCTGAAAACACCACGTTCTCTCTTTCCTCCATGTGTTTACATATATTATTCTACTGCCTGAAATACCCTTCCCTCACTCTCTCTTGTTTTTAAAGACTCAGCTCAAGGGTCACTTCTAGAAGTCTTTCCTCACATTTCCCATAGCCAACTCTGAAGGTTGCACCTCTTTTACCTTCCCACAGCTTCTGCACCTCTTCCAGACAGACACTGTTCTAAGCATTTACATCTTTAGAAGAACCCTAAAAAGTAAGTACTATTGGGGTGCCTGGGTGGCTCAGTCGTTAAGCGTCTGCCTTCAGCTCAGGTCAGGATCCCAGAGTCCTGGGATCAAGCCCCGCGTCGGGCTCTCTGCTCAGCGGAAAGCCTGCTTCTCCCTCTCCCACTCCCCCTGCTTGTGTTCCCTCTCTCGCCGTGTCTCTCCCTGTCAAATAAATAAATAAAAATCTTAAAAAAAAAAAAAGTAAGTACTATTATTATTCCAATTTACAGATGAGGAAAACAAGGTTCATAAACATGAACTAAGTTGCCCAAGGTCAGACAGCAAAGACACAGATCTGAGAATTGGGCCCTGAGAATCTGGCTCCGTCTGTGTGCTCACACGTTATACTACTGGTATGCAATAAATTCTTGATAAGCACGTGAGTGAACAGAACTACTGAGATGTAGTAAGCAACTAAAGAATAACTTGTGTATACCTTGCAACCCCAGGCTAGAATGCAGGCTCTGCCACGTATTGGCTGTGAAAGCCTGGCAAGTTACCCCATCTCCTTAAGTCTCAGCTTCCTCTTCTGTAAAATGGAAATAATAGCTCCTTTACAGGTTACTGTGAAGATGCACACAGCTATAGGTATAGTAGGCACCCACATTTACCAAATGAAATAGTTGGCATGACTATATGTGTAACACCAGGTACAGACAGAATAGTTGCTCAGAAAACGTTTTACTATAATGAGGTGAGAAAGAGATATGAAGCCAATAATATAAAAGCTAACGATTATTTCATGCTTAATATGTGCCAGGAACTGGTGTAAATTCTCAGTGAGCATTAACTGATTTACAACCATGTAACATAGTAAGTGCTATACTCTCCCTGTTGTACAGATAAGGAAACTGAGGATTGTGGAAGAATCTAATGGAAGTCACACAGCCAAACAGTAGTAAAGCTGGATTGGAGCATAGTCCTGATTCTAGAGTAGGAGCTCGTTAGCATGATATTTTCTCACAACTGCCTCAGACAATACAGTGGGTGGTTTTGAGCTTGACTGTCAGGAGAGACAAAGGACAAAGAATGGGGGTAGAGGAATGGAATGAAGAGGCTAACAGTGAGCTCAATTTGGGGCAGCTTGAGTGTGTGGTGCCTATGGTGTATCCAGGCAAAGCTATTCAACAAACAGTTGAAATACAGGATTAGAGCCCTAGAGAGACAGTAAACTGAAAATAAAGATTTGATGGTGGTTTAAATTATGGGAAAAGATGAAATCATTCACAGTGAATGTATAAAAGAAGAGAAAATGGACTTGGAAGAAGCCCTTAAAAATCAGCCCTTAAAAGCAGAAGGAAACAAACCCATAAAGGACACTGATAAACAGAAATTTAGAGAACTAGGGAGTGGGTAGTTGAGACCAACAGAAGAGAGGAGGGACAGGCCAGTTAATTCATTTAGTCAACAAATATTTATTGACTATCTGGCACTGTTTTAGGTGCTAGGAGTGTATTAGCAAACAAAAGACAATACTTGCCCTTGTAGAGTTTACATGCTAGTCAAGGGAGATAGGCAATAAACACATAAATACAGAAAATGTCAGGCGGTAATAGAAAATAAAACAAAGGTAAGGTAGTTTACAAAATAATGGAGTGGCAAGAACCATATGGTGAACTATGAAAATCCCCTCTGAGAAGGTGAGTCTTCAAATAGACTAGAAAGTGAGTGTGTGAGTCCTGTGGATATCTCAGGGAGGAGTTCTATGCAGAGGAAACAGGGATGAAAAAGCCTTGAGGTTAACTGTGCTTGAGTGTGGATGAAGAAGAATAAGAAGGCTAGAAATACTAGAGGAATGAAGGAGGGCAAGATGTTAGGAGATGAGGCTGAGGCTGGGGAAGATATTACAGTTTATATAAGACTGACTTTTATTCTGAGTGAGCTGAGGAGATATTAGAGAAATTTGAGGGAGTGACACGATATTTGAATTATGATTTAAAAGGATTTCTCTGGGAGCGTCCGACTCTTGGTTTCAGCTGAGGTCATGATCTCAGGGTTGTGGGACCAAGCCCCGGGTCAGGCTCCACACTGGGTGTGGGGTCTGCTTATGATTCTCTCTCTCCCTCTGCCCACCAGCCCGGCTTACGCACATGTGCTGTCTCTCTCTAAAACAAACAAATAAATCAAAGGATCACTCTGGCTGCAATGTTGAGAGCAGACTGGGATGGGGATGATGGAGCAGAGAGGAGGCTGCTGCAAAACTCCAGGTAAGGGATGACAGGACTTGGACCAGAGTGTTAGAAGTGGCAGTAGTGAGAAGTGACTGGATTCTAAATATGTTGGAAACATGGAGCCAACAGTATGTGCTGACATTCAAGTAGAAATATAAATCTGCTGTGTGGTGAAAAGCCTGGCTGAACATCTGTACTGGGGAGTCACTGGGGTACAGATGACATTTAAAGCCATGGGACTAGCTGAGATCTCCTGGGAAGTGAGGGTGGATGGAAGGGAGATCTGAGCTCTCCAATGTGTAGAATTTGGGAAGAGGAACCAGCAAAGGCGACTGAAAGGCAGCAGCCAGTGAGCTAGAAGAACCAGGAGAGATCAGTGGAAGCCAAGTCTTGGAAGCCAAGCGAAGAAAGTGAACAAAGAGTGATCAATTGTGTCTCATATAAAGTAGCATAAGGAATAAAAAGTGGATTCGACATGGATTCGACAATCTGAAGGTCACTTGCAAACCTGACAGAAGCTGTTTTCATGGGATTGCAGGGACAAAAGCCTGACTGCAATGTGTTTAAAGAGAAGGGAAGAGAAGCAAAACTTGTGTGTTCTGGTTCAAAGAGAAGCAGAGAAAGGGCCAGTAGTTGGAATGTAATGTGGAGTTACAGGTGTCTTTTGTTTTTAAATTGGGAGACATTACACCAATGTCAAATATTACAGAAGGGCCCAATGAATTTAGGACATTTTATTTGGGTGTCAGGTCTCAGTGAGTAGCTGAATAACAGTAACAATGACAACAAGATTTCCATGAATAAAGAATTAATGGAGCATTAAACAAAATAGACAAGCATGCAGATTCAGTTGAGACAGGCTGGAGAAACAAGAGATGGTGACAAGATGATAGAGAGAAGGTTTTCTCTCTTTTAATTTACAAAGGCAGAGACTTGCCTGTCTTTAGGTTTATACGGAAAGAACTAGTTGAACAGAGAAGGCTGAAATCAGGAGAAAGGGTAACAATGGTGCACGGGCTGGTTTCAGACAGGAAAAAGGTCACCTTACCCTATGAAGGGAAGAGAAGGGTAAGGTAGGTAAGGGTCCAGGTGGTCCAGGTTCAGGCCTGAGGTCTCTAGCTCATCCACAAATAGCAATGAACATATTCTTACCCTAACTGACATTCTTGGTTTCAGGAGAATGATACAGGTTTGGCAAAGCTATGTGCCTCACTAGAGACACTTGGATATGCAGCAGAGAAGCAGTGGTTGTGTGGCTGGGGCCACACGGCTGCACAGGACCCTCAGGACTCTAGAGCAGCACAAAGAAAAGGTATGGAGTGTAGCTGGCTTGGGATTTTGAAACGTGTGTGGTGGACAGACAAGGTGAGGGCACAGGTAAGAGAGTGGATTAAGAGGGGCAGGTGGACTGGGAATGGACGTTGTGACCAGAGTGATGTTGGATCTCAGAGGAGGGATGGGCAGATCCACGGAAAGGGTATGAGCTGGGGCAGAGGGAGACCATGTCTTTTCTTCCTGATAAGGTTGTTGCAGGTGAGCAAGACTAGGATGGAAAGGAGGGCTAGACCAGTGCCCAAGCCCAAGGAAATGAGATAACAGCAGACTAATGGGGTTAGGTGAGCAGAGGGAGTGTGGGAGTGGGAGAGGATGGGCTTAAGGAGACTGGATGTGAAGAGCTTGAAGTCACAGGGGTCCTGGGGAATGGAGACTCCAGAGGTGTGCAAAGCTCAAGGGCCTGGAGTCCTGGTTGTAGTCTCAGGGTCTTGCCTGGTCTGAAGAGTTTGGTAGAGGCTGGGATCCCCCTGGAAATAAGAACTGGGAAAGGACAAGAGGGGCTCTTGGGTTGAGATTCTTTGTGAGGGGTGTGTGTGTGTGAACAGCACAGGAATAGCATGTGTATGTGTGGTGGGAGTCCTGCAGTCAGAGGAGCAGGAGGCTCTGGGAGCACCCCCAGTGTGCAGATGTCAGGGACTGGAGTGTGTGGTGTGTGGAGTGCAGGTGTTCCAGGTGTGGGAGCAACAGATGAGAGGGTCAGGTCATATGGGAGAGTCCAGGGTTGGAATGTGCAGTGTGAGGGGTCTGGAGGAAGTGTGGGGTGAGGGAACTGGAGTGAGGGCAGGGTGTGGGGATGGGGGAGACTGCAGTGAGGGGGTGTTGGGGGCAGGGTGTGGGGGGTGAGGAGACTGGGGTAAGGACAGAGTATGGGGGTAAGGAGACTGGGGTGAAGAGGGGTGTGAGGGGTAAGGAGACTGGGGCAAGGGTCGGGTGTGGTGGGCAAGGGTGGGGTGTGTGGGTGGGGGTGGGGGGACTGGGTGAGGGGGGTGTAGGGGGTGAGGAGGGGTGGGGGTGAGGAGCCTGGGGTGAGAATAGGGTGTGGGTGGCAAGGAGATTGGGGTGAAGAGGGGTATGGGGGGTGAGATTGGGGCAAGGGTCAGGTGTGGTGGGCGAGGGTGGGGTGAGGCGTGGTGTGGGGGGTGGGGGAACTGGGGTGGGGGGGCATGAAGGGTGAGGAGACTGGGGCAGGGAGGGGTGTGGGGGGCCAGGGGACTGGGGTGAGGAGGGATGTGGGGGGTGAGGAGGGGTGTGGGGGGTGAGGAGACTGGGGTGAGGACAGACTGTGGGGGGTGGGGAGACTGGGGTGAGGAGGGGTGTGGGGGTGAGGAGACTGGGGTGAGGACAGAATGTGGGGGGTCAGGGGACTGGGGTGAGGAGGGTGTGGGGGGTGAGGAGGGGTGTGGGGGGTGAGGAGACTGGGGTGAGGACAGACTGTGGGGGGTGGGGGGACTGGGGTGAGGAGGGGTGTGAGGGGCGAGGAGACTGGGGTGAGGACAGAACATGGGGGGTGGGGAGACTGGGGTGAGGAGGGGTGTGAGGGGCGAGGCGACTGGGGTGAGGACAGAATGTGGGGGGGAATGGGGTGAGGAGGGGTGTGGGGGCGAGGAGACTGGGGTGAGGACAGAATGTGGGGGGTGGGGAGACTGGGGTGAGGAGGGGTGTGGGGGTGAGGAGACTGGGGTGAGGACAGAATGTGGGGGGTGGGGGGACTGGGGTGAGGAAGGGGTGGGGGTGAGGAGGGGTGATTGGGGTGAGGGGACTAGGGTGAGGAGGGGTGTGGGGGGCGAGGGGAATGGAGTGAGGAGGGTGTGGGGGGGCGAGGGGACTGGAGTGAGGAGGGTGTGGGGGGTGAGGAGGGGTGTGGGGGCAAGGAGACTGGGGTGAGGACAGAATGTGGGGGGTGGGGGGACTGGGGTGAGGAGGGTTGTGGGGGTGAGGAGGGTGTGGGGGGTGAGGAGAGTGCGGGGGAGAGGAGACTGGAGTAAGGACAATGTGGGGGGTGAGGAGACTGGGGTGAGGAGGGGTGTGGGGGTGAGGAGGGGTGTGGGGGCGAGGAGACTGGGGTGAGGAAGGGTGTGGGGGGCGAGGCGACTGGGGTGAGGATAGAATGTGGGGAGTGGGGAGACTGGGGTGAGGAGGGGTGTGGGGGGTGAGAAGACTGCTATGAGGACAGAATGTGGGGGGTGGGGGGACTGGGGTGAGGAGGGGTGTGGGGGGCGAGGCGACTGGGGTGAGGACAGAATGTGGGGGGTGGGGGCACTGGGGTGAGGAGGGGTGTGGAGGGCGAGGCGACTGGGGTGAGGACAGAATGTGGGGGGTGGGGGGACTGGGGTGAGGAGGGGTGTGGGGGGCGAGGCGACTGGGGTGAGGACAGAATGTGGGGGGTGGGGGGACTGGGGTGAGGAGGGTGTGGGGGGCGAGGAGACTGGGGTGAGGACAGAATGTGGGGGGTGGGGGACTGGGGTGAGGAGGGGTGTGGGGGGCGAGGCGACTGGGGTGAGGATAGAATGTGGGGGGTGGGGGGACTGCGGTGAGGAGGGGTGTGGGGGGTGAGGAGACTGAGGTGAGGACAGAAGGTGGGGGGTGGGGGGACTGGGGTGAGGAGGGGTGTGGGGGGCGAGGCGACTGGGGTGAGGATAGAATGTGGGGGGTGGGGGGACTGGGGTGAGGAGGGGTGTGGGGGGCGAGGCGACTGGGGTGAGGACAGAATGTGGGGGGTGGGGGACTGGGGTGAGGAGGGGTGTGGGGGGCGAGGCGACTGGGGTGAGGATAGAATGTGGGGGGTGGGGGGACTGCGGTGAGGAGGGGTGTGGGGGGTGAGGAGACTGAGGTGAGGACAGAATGTGGGGGGTGGGGGACTGGGGCGAGGAGGGGTGTGGGGGCGAGGCGACTGGGGTGAGGATAGAATGTGGGGGGTGGGGGGACTGCGGTGAGGAGGGGTGTGGAGGGCGAGGCGACTGGGGTGAGGACAGAATGTGGGGGGTGGGGGGACTGGGGTGAGGAGGGGTGTGGGGGGCGAGGCGACTGGGGTGAGGATAGAATGTGGGGGGTGGGGGGACTGGGGTGAGGAGGGGTGTGGGGGGTGAGGAGACTGAGGTGAGGACAGAAGGTGGGGGGTGGGGGACTGGGGCGAGGAGGCGTGGGGAGGGTGGAGAGCGGCCCGCGGCGAGGGGACGGGTGAGGTGGGGATACCGGGTGAGGCAGCGGGCACAGCTCCAGGACGTCGTGGCCCCGGGGGTCAGGGCGCGCAGGGAGGGCCCCGAACCCGTGGCTGGGCCGGCCTCGCTCACCTCCGGCGCGGCCTGCGCTCGCGTGGGGATCCGCGGCCCAGCTGTGTGGCGGGCGGCACGCGGCGGGAGCTGGGCGCAGCACCCCGCCCCTTTCCGTTAGCAGACCCGGCCCCCGGAGATGGCTTCTGGCCCTCATTGGCCAGTCTCCCGGAGCGGAAGGGGCTGGGCCGCAAACACGTGAGCGTGCCGCCCTCTGGCTGGTCCAGAGTCTCGGCCTCGAGGTCTCATTGGCTGGCCTCCAGAGCGCAAGGGGTGGGGTCGCCCGGGCTGGCCTCTCCTGACTGAGCCCTGGCTGAGGCGGCGGGAGAGCCGAAGTGAAGGGAGGTCCGCGCGTGGACCTGATCGTTGTGTTCCTCTCCGTGGTTCGTGAGGGCAAGGCCATGCACGCAGGGCCCTGTCCTCCTGACCACTGTGTCCGCGGTGTCCCGGACAGCACTCGGCCAGCAGGGGCTAGTCAGTCAGCATTCGTTCAGTTGGCTCAGTGCCCAGATGTTCTCCGTCTCGACGACGACGGGCTGGCGGACGCTGTTACATCTGTGTCACAGGGCAGGAAGCTGAAGCTCCGGGAGGTGGGGCAGGGACCGGAGTACCTGGGGCTGCGAGGAGTCCCCGGGCGCGCCGGCCTGCAGGCAGCAGAAGCGCAAATCCCCGAGGGGGGCTGCACGCACCGCGGTGGCCCAGAGGACACCGGAGAGACGGCGCGTGCCTCCGCGGGCCGGTGCAGGCGCTCAGTCTCCAGAGGGCTCCGGGCACCTTGGGAGGGCGGGAAGCCGGGGAGCGAGGTGACGGGGTCTCTGCGGCTGCTGCAGGGGAGGCGAGCAGGCTGTTTGGCTGAGTGATGTTGGGGATGCGGACCGCCTGGTGGTGGTCGTGCTGGAGGGAAGGACACAAAGTCAAAGCCATTCGGAGGTAGGTTTGCCCGGCTTGGTTACGTGGGGGGTGAGGGAGAAAGGAGTGGGTTGGCGGCCGGAGGGTGATACCACCGGCCGAGATGGGGAGCAGTGGGACAGAAGCCAGTTGGGAAGGTTGGTAACTTCAGTTTGGATTCCAGATAAACTGGATTCTCTCTCGGGGAGTCTGAGTGTTAGCAGACTGATTGCAGAGCAGGAAACACAGCTAGAGTTGAGCCAGACGGTTCTGGGCATCTGCCCATGTATTGAGGCCATGCCCCTTCTGGACCTGGTTCCCTGGCTGTCCGTCCCCACCTGTGAGCCACCCTGCATACTTGTACTCATTCCACCTTTGCTTGGACTGCCCAGAGCGGATTCCTGTTATAGCACCTCAGAAAACCATGAACCAGGAGTAGCTCTGATGGGTAATGAAGGCAGCTTCAGGAAAGACTAGTTTACCAGGATGACAAACAACATAGGATTCCAGGCAAAAGTTTCATCGAAGGCAAAGGCAAGGGTGTGGAAAAGCCTGCTTCCTTTAGGGAATGGAGAGTGTGGTTTGGGCTCAGGAGGGGCGGAGGGACTCAGAAGGTCTTTTGGGCTGGGATGTGAGGGCCTTGGATACCCTGCCTAGCAGATGAGGTGGGCTGTCTGAAGCGCCTAGCAGAGCCCAGGCCAAGAAGGACAGGCTCTCAGGAAGCCCAAGGATGTCAGTCTGGCCTTCCCATGAAACCAGCTAACTGTTCACCAAATGTTTCCTTTATATCCTTGTCACATAGCCAGACTGCGTTTTCCAGCCTCCCTTGCAATGTGAGCCCTGGCTAGTGGATGTGGTGAGAAGTGCTCCGTATCACTACCCGGGCCAGATCCTCTCGCTCTCTTCCCCATCTACCTGCTGGATGTTGATGTCCAAGGCAACTGGGACCGACTTGAGGAAGGCAGGGCTTCTGTTCTGTCAGCCTGCCTTTGAATAATGGTATGAGCAGAGTCTCCCTCTCAGCTAGCTGAACAAGAATTAAACTTCTATTGGGTTAAGCCATGAAGATGTCAGGATTTATGTGTTCTGGCTGCCAGCAGATCTGCAAACCCCAGGAGTACAAGTAGCTTATTCAAGTTTTGTGTGTGTTTTTTTTAAAGATTTTATTTATTTGACAGAGAGAGACACAGCGAGAGAGGGAACACAAGCAGGGGGGGTGGGAGAGGGAGAAGCAGGCTTTCTGCAGAGCAGGGAGCCCAATATGGGGCTCGATCCCAGGACCCTGTGATCACGACCTGAGCCGAAGGCAGATGCTTAACGACTGAGCCACCCAGGCGCCCCAGCTTATTCAGGTTTGATGGGTTGTCACCAGAGGTTTTTACCTTGGGTTAGCATTATGATTTCTCCTCTTACTTATTTTAACCAAGAACAAATCCGATTAAAAACAACAACAACAACAACAAAAAACCCTTTGGATTTCAACATTAACGAAAAGCCAGCTTTTTGGGAGACTCTGCTCACTGCTCTCCCAGGGTAGGTTACACAAGTAGCCAGAGTGGCAGAGGTCTGTGAAGAGATTTTTGGAAGCCCAAGAAAGCTCTGATATGGAGCATAACATTTTGTGAGCTTAGATTTATAAGCTTCTCATTGAGACTCAAAGGTGGTTAGGAGCCTCTGCCCTGGGAATATCTCATGAGCTCTCTTCAAAGCTGCTATCAGGAGCCTACATCTCCTTAGTTTTCAATTTATCTTTTGAGGAGTTTGAGACATTTTCACAAATACTTCCTATAGGCACATCAAACTCAACATTTAAAAATCTCATCATCCAAGCACCCAAAGTAAAAAATGTGAATTATCTTCGATGCCTCCCTATCAGGTTTTTTAGACCTACCTTTGACATTCTTTTTTTTAATTTTTTTTTTAATTTTTTTTACCTTTGACATTCTTGGTGTCCTGAGTCTCCCTTTGGTAGTTTAAGTCCCGCCATTTCTCCCAAACCCCACCCCCCATCACGAGTAGTATGCACAGGTCTTCTTGTTTCTGTCTTCACTGCCCCCTACTTTGTTCTAATGTCATTCTGGTTGGCCAGAATGATCCCATTAAAATTTAGGACAGATTAGATCACCCTCTGCTCACACCTCAATGGTTTCTCCCATCATTCAGAGAAGCCAGAGCCTGGCACATGAGGCCCTTGATGCCCCAATCCACCTGTCCCCTCCTGCTGTCCCACTACCTCCGTGCCAGCCACAGCACTTCTGGTACTGTCCCTGCACTGCAGCCGGCACCTCTCACCTGGAAGCTCTGGCCCTGGCTGTCCACTCTGCCAGGGATGTGCTGCCCTTGCACCCTCACTTCCTTTGGGTCTGAGTCAGATGGCCCTGCTCAGGAGGGCCTGCCTTCCCAACCCTGTCTGAAATTGCCACCCACCCCTCCATTGCTCCCTCCCCTTGCTTTTCCCCTTAGCACTTACTACCATCTGCCTTACTGTATAATTTACTCATTCTTCTTGCTTAATGCCTGTCTCTCTTAGACTCTAAGCCCCAGAGGAAGGGACTGTTTGGGCCAGTTTTATTCACTGCTGTATCCCAGTGCCTAGCACACTGTAGCCCTCAATAAGTACGAAGTGAATTATTCGAAAAGCCTCCTGGTTTCTGTGCCAGCCACTCCATCCCCTGATCCATGCCTGTTCCGCCCAATCATGAATTCCACATGGCAGGTGCCTTGTTCACCACTGAATCCCCAGCACAGAGCCAAGTGGATGGTGGGTGCTCAATCAACAGTGGTTCAGAGAGAAGGCCCAGGACTGTATCGAATTCATTCCTGGGTTCTTAGCAACAAGCAGAGTGCCGAGATCTAGATTCCTTCTAGCATGCTAATTAGCAATAGTAATTAAGTGCCTCCTTATACTTTCCATAAACATTTTTTGTTTACTTTTAATGTTACTTTAATGTAAAAAGTCAACCTGAGGGAAGGAACATGTGTAGCTCCAGATCATACTGTGTGCCCTATCACAGACATGACCACCTGGCACGCTGACTGCGGGCCTGGGATTGCAGCCCTTCCCTACGGCCAGGAGGAGGCCGTGGGCCTCCACAGGGTGGTGCTCCAGCCCAGAGGCGTGCAGAGGGCATGACCGTTCATGGAGACGGCAGCTGGGCCCCACTCTCTGGCAGACAAACAGAAGTGGCCCCAGGGAACAGGTGAAGGTTCTGAAGCAAGAATTTATTCCAAGTGGGTGTGGACAGTGGTGACCTCAGGAGAGACATGCATTTCAAAGTAGGTCACAAGCCTCTCAGTCTCCCAGCCCCATCTCCTCCCCCTGCTACCTCTCTGGTCTGAGCTTGGGCAGGGGAGGGCCTCCTAGTTCCCAAACAAAACAAAGGTACCTAAGAGCTAAGAGAGAATTACAGAGGCTTATTTTTATTAGTATCTAGCAGGAAAAAAAAATCAAAATTCCCTCCCTGCTCCAACCCCCCTTCCACCACCTGGGCCCTCAGGGAGCAGCATCTGCCTGTGGAGTGCCTGCTGCCAGAGCTGTCCTTGGAGCCTGGACACCTGCGCGTGGTCACCCCCGTGCCTGCGAGCCGACCACAGGCCCCTTCCTCCACAATGTGGACATGAGAGGGCAGCTGGCATTTCTCCAGCCCTCAGCTGTCAGCCTTGGGGACTTGGAAAAGATCAGCGATGTCCAGCAGAGCTTGGCGGATGTGGTTCCCAAAGCGCTGGGCATTCTGTGGGAGCCGAGAGCTCAGACCAACGCTTCAGGTGAGCCCCTGTCCCCCTCCCCACAACCAAGGACTCTTCCCCAGCCAGACAGGGCCCCAGGTGGCACCCCCTCCTCAGGCCTGAGCAGGAGCAGGAGAGACTCACTGTCTCTGAGCTTGAGAACTTGCTGGAGATGTGGAAGAAGATGGTGTTCTCGCCCGCGATCATGTAGGAAACCCCATAGCCATCATCTGCCACCTGAGGGCAGCACGAGGGGTAAAGAAGAAGTAAAACAAACCTTGCAGATCTGAAAGCCAAGCTGATGTCATGCTTGCTGTTCCCACAAGATTCCCAGGAAGGGGCCCCACCCCAGATGCTGCATTTTCCCTGAGGTCAGGAACATTTCCAGGCAACAGTGTGAAAACCAAGGGGCTCTGCCCACTGCAGATCCAGACACTACCAGGGATCTAGGATATTGTGGTTCTCTCAGGAGGCTCAAGCTCACTACCCCTCTCTAGGGAGTGTCTTTAGCTCCTTGAGGCACCTGTCTATCTGGGTCGATAGCTACCCATTCTGTTTCCATGCAGGGCAAGCTCAGGGCTGTGCTCCCACCCCTGGTCTGACTTCAGGGCTCTGTACTCCCCACTGAGACCCCTGCGGCCCAGTCCTGCTCATCCATCCCCTTTCAAGGGGGCTTACCGGGCCAAAGCCACCACCGGCAGCCAGGTGATTGGGGTACTTGTCTGGCTCGAACATACGGATCTGGAATTGAGCAATCTGGCTGGTGGAGAGGCGCCAGGGTTCTGAGAGCACCTGCAACAGGGAGATCACAGCAGTGAGACACCAGGCATGAAATGCCATGCACTCAGCTCTCACCTGCTGACAGGTGGTGCCTGAGCACCAGCATGAGCAGGTGCGCGATCTTCCAGACTGCTGCCACACGGCCTCCGGTCTGTTCTCACAGATGACAGCATCTGCACAAAACCCTTGAGGCCCATGTGACCTAACTGTCCCGAAGGCCTCCTCTCCTACCAGCCTGTCCCTGCCTGGGCTCTGCTCCCTCCCCTCCTGCTGCTGCACCTTGTCCACCCACGCTCCGGCCTCAGCGCCAGGCTAGGGGTTCCCTCTGCCTGGACCCTCTGCCCAGCCTGATCCTGCAGCTTCTTCGCTTTTCTCAGAGTGCCATCACCACCTGACAGCCACGTGTTTGTCTGTCCACCCTCATGAGAACCACCAGCTCCGCGAGGGAAGACTCCTACTCAGAAGCAGGACCACAGGCCTGGACGGGGTGTGGAGTGGGACAGCTGACCAGAGAGAGGACAGGCCATGCCCCCTCAGGAGAGGGCACGGGGACAGAAGACACACCCGCCAACAATGCTGACCTCAGCCAGGAAGGGGGAGCTGACCCCCAGGTACTTGGAGACCAGGTAAAGGCAGAAGAGGTGCCTGTCTATCCCAGCCCCCGTCATGGCCAGACGGTACATGTTCTGGTGTTTCTTTGAAGCCTTCCGGAAGAGATCTTGGAGGTCTGCTTTCTGGGGAGCAGAAGTGGAGCGGTGAAGAGTAGCCCTGCTCCTCAAGGTGGGCAGGAGGTGGAGGGTGTGGGGGGCTCACCATGTGGGACCCCTCCACCATGGCCTGAACAAAGGCCGTGGACTCGCTGGTACAGGAACGCACGGTCTCAGTCCGTCCCTCCCGGAACATCCTGGTCATGGAGGCTTCGTAGGTCAAGCAGAACTTGCCCCTGTCCTGAGGAGCACAGAGGGGTGAATCTGGCAGGTGGGGCTGGTGCCACCCTGCCCCTCAGCAGCCTAGCAGGGCCCCTACCCGGAAGTGGGCCAGCTGCAGGGCAATCTGCACGAAGGCGTCCGGGCTGGTCCGACACTTCTTGATGAGGCCTTTGCCAAACGGCAAGAACTGGAAGCAGTACAGCTCCACGTCGTCTGCCAGTGCCGTGGCCACCTGGTAGGAGCTCTCAATGACTGTCCGGCACTGCCAAGATATGGAAAGGTCAGCTGGGGGCAGAGCTCTCCAAGCAGCGAGGCTGGGCGGGTCTCAGTGAGCCTTCAACATCTTCAGACACAGAGGACAACCTGAGGGGCCTCAGCCCCCAGAGGCCATGCTGGGCTTTGTGGAAAGAGGGAGGCATGAACGGGTGCTCCATGGACGAGTCTCACACCTCACGTCTTTCACTAACCACTCGATGGTCCCAGGATCTCTGTTCTCACCGTGGCCAGTCTGGACTCTGAGAAGCTCCTGTCCCTTCCCCCTGAGAGCATCCCAGGTACTTGCCAGTCTTGCATGCCCATCCCTGTCCCCTCTTGGCCTGCACACCTGCTCAGGAATGTCCCACTGCAGCCGCTGGGGAGCTGCAAGCATGGGGTTCGGTTTGCCCAGGCAGTGCCCGGTCTCCGTGTAGCCCAGGTGGAAGGTTTCAGTGCCCAGGACAAACTGCAGGGAGAAGGTCAGGCTGAGAAGCCACCCTCATGCCCCGCACCCAGCCTGCCTTGCAGGACCCCACTCAGGGCCCATTACCTCCCAGAGGTGCCCTATGATAGGGGCGTCTGCCCACGCGTGTTCTGTGTTGAGGCCCAGCTGTCCATTCTTGAAGGCGATGACAGTGAAAGACTTGTCGAACCACCTGCAGGAAAGTAGGCAGGAGATGCAGGGAGGGCGTCGAGGCGGGTGGAGGAGCAGGGGGACCTGCCGCGGGGCTGGGGCGCCACACCTGTTGTAGCAGTTGCCGTGCAGCAGGGCCTTGCCGTAGAGGCTGAGGCTGGCCTCGTCTTCGGGGTCGTAGTGGTGAGACTCCTCGTCCAGGGCCACGAAGAAAGCAGCACGCTCGATGGCATCCAGAGCAGCCTTGTTCTTGCCAGAGCTGAAGAAGGCCTGGCGTGCCTGTGCCCACTCCACTCTGGGGGCACAAGGGCAGGGTGAGCGTGGGCTCACTGTGGGCGGTGGCGGAGGACACCTCCCAGGACCCGGCAGGGCCCAGAGCTGGGGGTCCCAGGCTGTCCTGGCAGGTGTCCCGGTCCTCCACACACTCCCACCCAGCCCCCACCTAGTCAGACATGGCTAGATGCGCGGTCTGCCATTGACCACAGTCCCCCTCGCTACCGAGGGGGCTTGGGCAGAGGATGCCATGCCAGCATGCTTTTCCCTCACTCATGCCTCTGGCCCCAAGTTCCAGGGTTGCATGCCGGGCCGAGCTCCTCTCCTCGTGGGGCTCTGGTACCTTCCCCCTGCAGTGAGGGCAGCCAGCTTCTCCTCCCCAGGCTGAGGTGGGGAGGGGTCGTCCAGGATCCTCTGGAACTGCATCTCCAGGTCACAAGGCTTGAGCAGCTGGGAACCCTCGTAGAGCCACACCTTGAAGAAGCGGCCCTTGTGGTAGACAGCCACGTGCCTGCTGTCGGAGAGGTGCTGCAGCAGGTCTGGGACAGAAGCCGGGGAGGGCTGAGGCAGGGCACACCTCCCTGCTCCCACTCCACCCCAACAGCCCCATGAAGCACTGCACAGAAGAGGAAGCTGAAGCTCTAGAAATTACACACACTGGCCCGCCATCAGAAACCAGGCCCTCTGCAAGCAGCACCCCCTGCTCTACAGGCCCATGAAGGGCTCCTGGTAAGCTCCATCCCTCCTGCTACTCCTTACTCAGACTACCTTCCCCTGCCCTGGAAGGCCCGGAGAGCAGGGGCTCCGTTCCGGGCCCCACAGAGTCCCAGCACCAGCGTCGTGCCTGTGAACAGGAGGTGTCTGGTGTTGGTCACAAACCAAATACTTTTGCCCATTACGTGACCCTGAGATGCCCAGGACGCTTGGTGACGGGCGAGGAGATAGGAGGGTGCCTGGCCATGGCAGGCCCAGAGCTGGGAGGGAGCGGCCTCCGTCCTGATGGCCCCAGCACTGGCACCTGGCTGTGGCCCAGTACCTGACTCCTTGCCTGGGATCCGAGTAGTGTTGAACATCCTCTCCATCTGGTAGGAGCACATGGGTACAATACCCAGGGCCATCACCTGGGAGGAAGGCACAGCATGGCTCAGACTTGGGCCTCCTCTCCTTGTTGTGCCCTCAACCCCACACAACTCACAGGCTTGATCTCTTCACGGTCCAGTTTACGGCGATACATGATCATAGCGTGGACGATGTTTCCCAGGCGGGCTGCCTGTATATTTGTATTCTTGATGAGCACAAATTCCTGCAGAGAGAGAGCAGAGCCTGCACGTGGTGTGATAGAGATGCACGCAACGCCTCCCTGTCCTGGTGTCACCTGGGTCTCCCTGCCTGAGGACCTGAGGGGTCCTGACCCCTTTCCCCAGTCCCTCCTACACACACGGTCAGGGTGCACTGCTGGAGATGAAATGCGTAACTGATCACGTCATGCCCCTGCCCGGCTTGAATCTTTGGAGTTGTTTTCTCATAACCTATTTTATTTGTTTGTGTTTTGTTTATTTTGCATTGAGAAAGGAGTTCCCACAACTGAAAAACAGTTTAAAACCTCTGACATGGACAAGCCGTACATAAGTAGTTGGCTGGACAGCTTTGTGGAGGAGGAAACTTTGGCACATGACTTGGAATGTGTTTTGGACAGTGGCAGAGGAGGAGCATGCTGGGTAGACCTGTGACTGTGCAGAGGCATGTGCTGGGAGCAGGAGAAGGGCTGGTCATATGGGGTAGGGGCTGATAGTGACCTGGGCTGGGCACGGCAGTGAACCCAGGGGACTCTGAGAGTGACAGTGTCAGGCGTGGGACTACTGGATTCTCCAGATCCTCAGTACCCCTGCTGCTCTGAAGCTGCTTCCTGACTGTTCTTCCAGGATCTCCCCCATCTTCCCAGCCCCCAGGCCCGCTCGCACCATGACGTAGTAGTTGCTGTTCACCATGAGGGGCGCCCTGCTCCGCAGGTACACGTACTCTTCCCACCAGTCACTCACCTGCGGGAAGGGAGGAGTTAGGGCTGGGGCAGAGGGCAGGGGACAGATGCCCCTGACACAAGGGGGCTAAGGGTAAGCCCAGGAGGGGACTCACATAGTTAGTTGCCCACCATGACTTGAGGACCAGGTACTTCTGCAGCCTGGGGGCAGTCTTGTCCTGGAATTCCTTGGCCAGTGTCTTCATTCGGTAGTATTCCTCATCATCCATCAAGGGCCGCACAGATTCCAGGTACTGTCCAGCCAAATCATTGTCAGTGTGGGGGCCAAACAATGACTACCTCTGTCCTGACCCTCTGCCAACCCAGCCCCATTGCTCTCAACCCTGCTCTTTGCAAGGGGCAGTCCCTTATTCTGGAGAAGTCCCCTGAGTCCAGCCTAACCTGCTCAACTGGGATGTCTTATTCAGGCCCTTACCCGCTGAATTGTGGCTGGCACGCTGGGCACGGGAAGCTTGGGCAGGGATGTCTGGAAGCTGTAGAGCATGGGCCGCCGGCTGGACAGGAGGCGGACACAGATCTGGGCACACAGAGCAGAGAATGTTTCTGGTGAGAACCAGGGGAAATAATGGAAACAAGTCGCAAACAGTTGAGGAGCTGGGCCCCCGACCCTCAGAACCAAGACAACCCTATACACCAGGGACCAGTGCCCTGCCTGCCTCCCCCCTCTAGCTTAGAACCCAAAATGAGGCCCCCAGAGTCTCAAACCAGATGCCTGAACCCGTCCACTGGCTTCTGCTCACAGCCCAGACTTTGGTGAAGTGGCTGGTCCGGCCATGCATCTCAAACATCCAACCATGGTAGGAAAGAAGCAGTTTCAGGGTTTGGCGGAAGAAGAAGATGCCCATCATCCAGACCCCCGTGGAGAAGATGGCCATGCTGAGAAGTGCCCGGGTCTGTGGGGTCCAGTAGGGGCCACATCTGTCAGAGAAGGGACAGGGCTGCAGGGGGTTCACTTGGGGTCTGCCTCAGGGAAATTCTGACTGCAGTTTTGATGGTTGTGAACCAGCTTGGGGGAGGCGTGGATGAACATTCCTGGGCACACTCATGTCTGAATGCATTACTACCAACTTACAAAATGTGGGACTCAGATGATGGTGGCCCCCAGGGAGGGCTGCCCCTAGGACCTCCAATGGCTATTATCCTGTATGTGCCCAGCTCAGGAACCCTGGCCTTGGAGCCTGCCCAGCCCTCTCTGGTAGCCCTGCTTCTTACCCCTCAGGGAGGCATTTCTGGATATAGCAGACCAGCCCCATGGAGATGTCCATCTTGCAGTAGGAAGAACCCACTGTTGCCATGACGACGACCAGCCAGCTGGTGGGGCTGCCAGGGTACACACCCCTAAGGATGCCATTCTGTGGGGCAGAAAGAGGCACACTTACAGCAGGAGTGACGGTCGTGAGCAGGCACCTGTGAGGTCCTGGTCTTTGCCTGGGAGGCCTTCTCCCTCCCTCACCTGCTGTGCTCTTGTTCCTCCTTCTGTCTGGTCTTCCCCTCCTCCCCACTCCTGTCCCTGCAGCCCCCACTTGCTCACTGGGTCCCACTGCTAAATCCTTGCACGCCCTTCTCTCCTCCGCACCTTGATCACCTCTCTGGTTTCTGCCCTGCTAGGGCCGGTCACCCAGCCGAACTGCCAGCCAAGGTGGGGTTGGGAGGTCTTGACCATGGGGCAGCTGCTGACACCTGGCCTCTGCCTCCGGGCAGACTCTATTCTGCACCTGCTGGGAGGAGGAAGCCAGAACCACCTGCGCCCACCTTGATGCGAATCAGGCGTTTCTTCCAGGAGTTGATCCCGGACAGGTAGATGTGTTTCAGGGCCTCCCGACTGAGCCGGAAGTCGACCCCATCTGGGGTCACCGTGAACTGGAAGGCCACAGCCTGGTGCGCTTCCGCCATCCTGGAGGTTGGCCGTCACCTGGGAGGGGGCAGGAGGGTGCGCGGGCGGGCTCAGGCTGGCCCCATCCCCGGCCGCCCTCAGCGCCGAGGCCCCCGCGCCCCGGCCAGGCCGCGCACCCGCCCGCACCCGCGCCGCGCTAGCGGCCGCCCCCGGCCCTCCTCCCGCTTCGGGCCCGGCCCAGCAGCCTGACCAACGGCCGCCGAACCCTCGCGCCCGCGTTCCGGCGGGCTTCGCCACAGTGGTGCAGCGGTCGGGAAGGGGGTCGAGCCGGGAAATCTTCGGGAGCCCCGAGGACAGTGAAGGGCTGCCTCCGGGTGGGGGGAGACGCGTCTCGGGAAGCAGAGTTGGTCCGGAGCGAGGCGGACAGCCCTGACTGCGAGGGACCCCGCGCCGCCCTCGCCCCCTGCTCTGGTCTAGGCCTCTGAGCCCGACGGGGGTGCCCTATGCTGTCCCCCACTCCACTCACGGCTTGGGTTCGCTCCTGTCCGCGTGTGGGGCCAGTCGCTCTGGCCCGTGTCCCCATGTCCTTCAGGCCTGGCCATCCCCGCCCCGCCCTCACCGGGAACCTGACACCCACTCCCAAATTTGGGTTGAGAAAACAGATGTGGGGCGGCAACCAGAATCCCGTCCTCTCTGTGGTGGGAATCAGGAGTGGGGGCGGGCCGGATTTCTGCAAGCTGAGATTGTTCAGAGGTCTGGGAACCTGGGGGGGGGGGGCCCAAAGGGTCTCACGTGAGGATGGTAGCATTAGAGCTAAAAATAGCTGAATGTAGGGAAAAGGTCATCAGAGAGTCAGCTGTGCTGCCTGTCCCCTGATCTCCAGTGCTCAGGGTTGGGCAGCCTCACCCCAGTGCCCTCTTTGTACCCCCATTACTCCCCAGCGCCGCACCCAAATCCTTCTACTGTGTATCACTTCTAAGCTGGGGCCAGGGAGGGTGAGGGCAGGGGACTCCCAACTTGCAGAGTGGACCCTTAACCACTCCCTCATGCCCAGAGCACCAAATAGCCATGCTTTTCAGAAGGGGACAATGAGGCTCAGAGCAGTGATCACTTTGTCAATCTGTGTGCATTCCCTGGTTAGTACTTTCTTTTTTTTGTTGGTACTTTCTGCCGCAGAGCTAGGACAGGGTGTGAAGGAGGAAGCTTGTTTATTGTCTTCAGGTACACAGCCCAGGGGCTCTCTCCCACCATCTCCCTGCTGTGGAGAGAGGTCAGCATCCTCAACCCCAGGTTCACTCCAGAGCTCAGCCCAGTCCCCAGAGCCTCCTGCTCTTTGCCCCTCCCTCCAAGGTCCTGCCCTGGAGGCTCCAGGAGCAATCTGAGGAGTTGGGGGCTGGAGAGTCAAGATGAGAGGTGGAAGCTGCTCAGCTGTCCTTTCTGCTGGAAGTAAAACTGGAACCGTGACTGGGCATACTCCTAGGGAAGGAAACCCACCCCACAAACCTGTGAGAAGGCTTGGGACTAGCACCTGCCTCTCCCCCAGCCCCAAGTCTGCCCACAGATTTCCTGGAGAACCCTGCTGCTCCCCTCCTCCCACCTAACTCACCCATCTGGGTTACTTACCAAGTAACCAAATTCTATGGTGGACATAGACGCCTGGAGGATAGACCAGAGACCCCAAAAGAAATGGGATGCCAGAGCGTATCTATGGAGAGCAGGAAAAACAGAGGGGTTCAGAGCACACTTTGGGTTACCTGGATCCCATCCCTGAGGCTGGTCAAGCCCCAAAGCTCAAACTCCTCCCCCACTGCCTTAACTCCAACCCTGTCCTGACTCTTCCCACTCTCTGCCCCCAGCTGCAGTCCCAGAAGTTGACCTGACTGCCTCTTCCTCAGCCCCCTTTCCTCTGCATCCTGCTCTGCTGCTGCCCCACCCATCTTTCCTCACCGATTAGCCTCTACCAGCATATCTTCTTCCAGTTTCCTCTGCTCCTCTTGGGAGATGGTTTCACCTTTCTTGACCTCTGCCAGGTAATGTCGAATAAAATGGAGCTGAGATTGACAGATGAGAGTCAGGAAATGGGGAGACGGTGGAGCATTTCCCAGTGAACACCCTTTCTCACCATTCTTTCCAGACCTCACCTTCCTCCTCCCTCACAGGCCAGGTCCTGCTCCCCAGCCTCCGGTCCACATACCTGCTGCCCCCGGGTGGGGTAGTCTGCAGGCTGCGCTTTGTAGAAAGGCCACTCCTCGTGAGTATAATCATAAACCCACTCACAAAAATGGTTCCCAATGTCAAAGCCCCTGGGGGAATAAGGTGGACACTCAGTCCCCAAATACCCTGGGCAGCTGGGATGCAGAGAGGAAGGCCTAGTCTGTTTTCCAGGCTGCTGTGGGAACAGACCCATGGAGGCCATCCTCTTACCCTCACCTGTAGTTGTAACTACTGTATTCGAAGTCGACCAGCATGAGTCTGTCGGTGTTTTCTGGCTCTGAGAGCAACAAGATGTTCCCTGGGAGGATGGGGTGGAGTTGTGGTCACTCCAGGGCCCTCTGGCCCCCCTTACCGTAGGAGATGCCGATGCTTTCTCCTACCTTCCTGGATGTCATTGTGACAGAAGACCACTGGTGATGGGGTAGAGTCTAGCAATTTCCTGCAGGGGAACAGGGGGCATGGGTCCTGAGCAGGAGTGACTAGAGGGTCAGTCACCTGTGGGCCAGGCCCTGACCCCAGCCCTCAGTAAATCCTGGGGAGGTACCCCAGTAGGTGCCTGGCACTGGCTCCTGTGTTCTGTTCTCCCGCCGTGCCTGCCCTCACCTGAGGTTGCCCATCTCATCCTTCAGGCTGTACGTCTCCAGCAGGTTCATCTGGGGGAGGCCCGTGGGGGGCAGGTCCTGGATCTGCTTTAGGTACCTGAAGCCCAAAGAATAAAATATGCTCCCTCTGTTATCTCTTCCTACCTCCTATTTCCCCAGGCCAGGCTGTCCTACCCATTTTCCTGTCACTGTAGGACTTATCTGGCAGATTTTTCTGACTCGTCTGCCTTATTTGGAAGCCTGTTCTGTGTGAGAGTCCCATGCTAGACACTGGGACACCTGATCCACTCAGCTGGAGGACTGGACAGTCATGGACACACTCAGCTGCAGCCCAGTATAGTAACTGCCGGCATTAGGGTTCAGAACAGGTGTGCAGGAGCCCTGAGAAGGCTCCTGACTCACCGTTCCATGGTCCCAAACAGCCAGTGGGGCTCCTTAGTGAACGGCATCTCCATGCCATGGAACCGGGCCATCTTCGTGGCGATTTCTGCTGACAGCACCGGCTCTCGAAGCTCACAGGTTTTCAGCGGCCGGCTCTGCACCCAGGAACCTATCAGGGTGGTGAGGGGGCTGGGGCAGGAGGGGGAAGGGGTGGGGAATGGGGGTGGGGGAGGAAGTCAGGGTCTTGGGGAAAATGCCCTACCTGGGGGAAGGGACATGAGGGCAGACACTGGAAAGGGGCACAGGGCTGGGGGCAGGAGGTGCTTCGGGAAGGTCGGGGCCGGGCTGGGCTCGTACTGGGATGTACTGTTCCAGCCGGCCCTCTGGAAAGACTCCATAGAGCTGGGGCCCCAGCGACCGCTCTGCCAGGATGGCGAACATCACACTTTCCAGCACCAAGGAATCCACGCCCTGAAGGAAGATGGACAACCAAGGCGGCAGAGTCACGAGGGGCCAGAGGAAAATTCGGAAGGGTCCGCTTTCTCCTCCCAGCACCCCCCCCCCCGCCCTTCTTGCTCCACTGCCTGGAGACGCCGGAGCCAGGCTCCAGTAGGAGGACTGACAAGTTACTTGCCCCGGGGGCCTCCGTGTCCTCAGCGGCGCAGTGGGGAGAATCCCCCCGCCACGCTCGCTGACAGGTGCTGGAGCCAGGGCCACTGCGGCCTCGCTCCCGCCTCACCTGCAGGATGGCCCCGTACAGCCGCAGCAGCACCTCCCGGGGCTCCTTGCCGACGCTGGGCAGGTGGTCCGGCAGCGAGCAGCGGAACAGCAGGTTGCTGAGGCCTCCGCTGCAGACCCACACCGGGGCGCGCTCAGCCCGCGGCCGGTGCACCCGCCCCGTCCCCCCGCTCGCCCCCAGTGTCCGCTCCGGGCCAGGCCGGCCCCGCCCCTGCCCCCTCCCCCAGCCCCGCACGCGCCGGGCCGCAGCGACGCGGGGTCCCCAGGGCCCGCGCTCGAACCCTGACGCCGGCGCTGGCTCGGGGGAGCGGACCCCTGACCTCCCACCTCACAGGGTCAACCCTCAGCTCCTCGGGCCGCACTCGGCGCCAGGCCCCGCCCAAGTACTCCCGGCAGCACTGGCAGGCTCGGCGCTCGGCGTCACGCGACAGCGACGAGCCGCGCCGCCTGTTCGGGGCCGCGTCCGGGCACCGAGACTGCTGCAAGCTGTCCCTGGCCAGCCGGTCGCCGACAGCCCCGCCTCCGGCCACAGCTGTCCCCTCGGCAGCCATGGCGCCGGCCGGGCCAAGCCCAACGTCCCGGCGCGCTCAGGCCCCTTCGGGCGGACTCGGCTCCTTCCGGCTGAGCTCGGGTCGCTTCCGGCCAGCCTGCTCCTCTCCGGTCATACTCGGGTCTCTCCGGCTCTGTTCGGCCTTTTGCGGCGCCGCTCGGCTCTCTCCGTGACCCTGGTCGGGTGCCCTTTCCGAAGGCCACATGCTGCGCGTCTCCGCCGTGTCCCGCCCCTACTCGGGGCGAACACCAATGACCTCTCTCTCTGGGCGGGGCCGCTCCAAAGACAGGCCGCTGTGAGGGGACCACGTGGGCCAACCAGAAGCGTCGAGAGCCGGTGGGCGCGCCGCCCTGGGGCGTGTCTCGAAGGCGGGTCACGCGGGTGGGGTGGTGCGTCCGCCGGCGGTCGGAAAGCTGTCCTGCGGGCGGGTGCTCGCGGGCGGGTGTTCCCGGGAAGGTGCGGGGGAGGAGGGACGGACCTTCGCGGGGCTCGGGGAGCGCACGGCGCAGCGCAGGCGGCGGCCCCTCAGTGGACGGATCTGCACGCCCCCCCCCCCCCCCCGCCCCGGCCAGTCCCGGGGGCAGTCGAGCAAGGAAGAGAGCCACTGAGTGAGTGTGGGTCACACCTGGAGGAGGAGAGTGTGTGACTCACCACCAGGGAGTAGAGAATGTACTAAATAAGTAAACATTTGCTGATGAGTGAATGAGAGTTTGGGGCCCCTGGGACAATTCCGATGACTCCAAGTGCCTTGAATCCCTGATCACCGCTGAGGCTCTCGTGTTAGTTGAAGCGCACCTCTGAGACGAAGCCCTTGTTGCCCTGTTTGCAATTAATGTCTCCACGCCCCACTCCACTACCCTTCTGCCTCCAGATCTAGACCGGGTAGAAAATCAAACCCAGGAGAAGGCTCACCTTGGAGCAGACGTCTGCTTGGCCCACCTGGGCAGTTTGAAGACGGATCAGACTCACCCCACCTTGATGGAGTCCCACCTTAAGTACATACTTCCTGCAACCAGAAGAGACGGGAGTGGCAACCAGAAAGACTTGACCCCCGGGGATCTGGGGCAGTGCTTGCTGGACCACCGTGTTCTTGGGGTGAAACAGATGGGCAGCTGACTGGAGTGTTGTTTGATTTGAATAACCAGAAAGAAATGAAGAATTTGTGATCAGAAGGCAAATGTCAGTTGCTGCAGTGGAAGATCACGATCCCTCACTCTGTTTAAATCTGAGCCAGTTCTGAGACCCGGAGCCCACTGTTTGAAAGGGGGGCTTGGTCCTTCAAGGAAGGACCCTCCAGTACCACCATAAGTATATGGAAAAAAATAGTCCTCCCGTCCTTCCCCTGACAGACCTAGAGCTGCTTAACAACTGACTTTGGAAAGAGACTATCCAGACCTTTCATGGGCTCTTAGAAACAGGATCTGAGACATTTGTGCCAAGGTACCTGAGATATCATGAGCCCCTGGTTAGAGTCGGGACTGTGGAGTCAGCTGATAAATGGAATCCTGGCTCGAGTCCTGGGGTTACCTTTTTGGTCCCAGTGCATACTTGGGATGATT